TCCGTGTGTGTGGCATGGGTCCTCGGTGCTGGCACACTGAGCTGTAGAAAGGCTGACATGCCCCTGAGGACTTGTCCCCGCTGCTTGCCAGGTGGCCTGCCTGGTGGGGCGTGCCTGGGCCTGGTGGGATTACAGGGTCTGATCTCGTTTTTCTAGACACCTCGGGTCCCAGGTCTGGCAGCATCCTTTGGCTGCCTTCTCCGGCTCCTCCACCCCCAGGAAAGACCCAGGTTATGTGTAAAGAAAGCTCCTTTGCTCAGAGTGTTGGGGGGCTCTTCCTCCTGGGGCCTGGGCCCCAGGAGTCCCTGGTTTGTCCAGCAGGAGGGGAGGCCTCCACTGCTTTTCCAGCCCAGGAAGCTGCCCAGTGCTGGCGTCTGTTCACTGGTACCCGGCTAGCACCTCTCCACCGGCTCAGGCGGGGTCCAGCTCAGCGCCCAGTGGGCGGTGACAAGCCTTTCTGCTGTCACATCCCTGGGCCTGTGTGAATGACATTCCAGCTCAGCTCCTGTACCTAGTAGGAGGAAAGAAACCTCTCTGGGCTTCTTGAGGCACCGGGGCACCCAGGGGGACAGTGCTCCCCTGACACTCATGACCAGGAAAACACATGCTGATTCAGCAACTCCTCATGGTCTGGTGTTCCGGGGGCAACTCCGTTCCTGCCAGCTAGTTTATAGGTGACCATGAGCTCTAAAATGGTGACTCCCTAACTTAGGCTTCTCCATGTCACACACACAGCTGTTCAAGTGGGTACAGCTCTTTACAGTTTGAAGAGAGCTTTCACATACCAGGTCCCATAGATCCTCAGCCACTGCACAGATTAGGAAACTGAGGCCAAGAGGAGAGGACTGAGCCTGAGTGCTTGGCTCCCCGGCAGTGCTGGTACCAGGATCCAGGCTTTGGGGCTCCCATGCAGAGACCACATAGTGGAGTCTCCCCCTGTACCCCGAGCTGTGGGCGGGGCATTAACGATGTAAGCAAGGAGGGAAGGGACGGGCATGGAGCTGTTCACATACTAAAACCACTCCACGCCCAGTCCCTTTTTTTTTTTTTTTTTGAGATTTTTGAGACCTGAAAATCTGCGGGAGGTGGGATCAACTGACTTCATGTCATTTGGTGTCCAGGGAAGGATGTGAGGGTGCAGAGATTGGCTCGGGCCACCCAGCAGGTCAGAGACCACCAGAGCGACTCTGCAGTGCAGTTGAAGGGGCATGATCTGTGAGGTGACTGTGACATAACTCTGATAGTTACATCGTCTTCATGACTTTTTAAAATAGTCTTGCTCTGTCGCCAAGCTGCAGTGCAGCGGCGTGATCTCAGCTCACTGCAACCTCTGCCTCCAAGGTTCAAGCGATTCCCCTGTCCCAGCCTCCCGAGTAGCTGGGATTACAGGTGCACACCACCACACCCAGCTAATTTTTTGTATTTTAGTAGAGACCGGGTTTCACCATGTTGGCCAGGATGGTTTTGAACTCCTGACCCGATGATCTGCTCCCCTCGACTGTAATCCCAAAGTGCTGGGATTACAGGCGTGAGCCATTGCCCTCAGCCAAATGACATTTAAAAAGTGTGGCTAGGGCTAGAGGACTGTGTCTAGAGCTTCCTTTAGACCAGGCACTGGGCTGAGAGCTCACATTCATAACCTTATTAAATCCCCTGGGTGACTTCGAGGTGGATGTAACTATCCCCAGGGCTGGGCTTGTGGCTGTGGGGCCCAGGCAGTGGCACGGGGACCCTCGTATGGGCTCATGCTCTGCCGTCACTGTCTAGAAATTCTTAGACCTTTTTAAACAAGGAGCCCTGCACCTTCATTTCACATGGAGCCTTGCAGATTACGTAGCCTGGTTGGTTGCATTTCTCAGAAGAGGACACAGGCCCAGAGTGGTCCTGAAGCAACGTGCCAATGTCACAGAGCCGACGGCTGCGCTGGGACTCTAGCCCCAAAGCCTGCACTCTCCACAGTAGAAAGAGGCTGACACAAAGTCAAATGGCTGTGCCCAGGTCCGGCTGCTGGCACCTGCCTGTAGCCATGGGTGAGGCGCTTCACCTGCCCTAGCCGCGATTGCTCCTTGGTGAAATGGGGCGGTCCCACCTGCCTCTGGGGGCTATGGGACTCACATGGGCAGATGGGCACACTGTGTTTTCTGCACTTCACCAAGCTCAGCAGATCCGAGAACCATCGCTAGCTGGTCACAGTTCACAGGGTCTGTCTCCGTGCCACCAGGTGGTCCTAACATAGTCCATGCAGGCCTTCACCTGAGGTCAGGAGTTCAAGACTAGCCTGGCCAATGTGGTGAAACCCCATCTCTTCTAAATATACAAAAAAATTAGCTTGGGCATGGTGGCGGCCACCTGTAATCCCAGCTACTCAAGAGGCTGAGGCAGAAAAACCACTTGAACCTGGGAGGTGGAGGTTGCAGTGAGCTGAGATTGCTCTATTGCAGGCGTCCCCAAACTTTTTACACAGGGGGCCAGTTCACTGTCCCTCAGACCATTGGAGGGCCACCACATACTGTGCTCCTCTCACTGACCACCAGTGAAAGAGGTGCCCCTTCCTGAAGTGCAGCGGGGAACCAGATAAATGGCCTCAGGGGGCCGCATGCGGCTCGCAGGCCGTAGTTTGGGGACGCCTGCTCTATTGCATTCCAGTCTGAATGACAAGAGTGAAACTCTATCTCAAAAAAAAAAAAAAAAAAGAAACCAATAATTGAAATAATTCCCTGCAATACAGATATGTAGTGTTTCCTGCCCCTTTCCCAGCAGCAGTGGGATGCCCTCGCCTCTGCAGTGGGTGCCTGCTGCCGGGGGAGGGGTGGGCCACCGTGGCTCCTGGTCCATGGTATCTGCCCACAGAATCCAGGGAGGGGCGCTGCTAATCTGCCTGCAGTTGAATCTTCTCCAGAAAGCTTTGATGGATCTAATCAGAGCTCCCCTGCCAGTCAGAAGGAAGCCCTGTGAGTACAGCTGCCCCAGACACGCTCAAAACAGATCCTGGCACCTCAGCAAAGAGGCAGACGGCGCCTGGGAGGGGCTCCAGAAAGTAGCTAATAAGTCTTTAGATTTGGACAGATTCTGACCATGAAACTGCACGGAAGACTCCCACAAGTACATTTCACTTTTGCAGACTTAGCGTGCTAAGTCTTCAGAGAGTGCCTGTGAGCTTTAGTTCTGCCACTCTGCTAGAGTGTGGGAGGTTGGTATGTATCACCCCCATTTTACAGATGAAGAACATGAGGCTTAGTAAGCCTGACCAGACCTGGAGCTAGGCCATCCGCCCCTAAGCCTAGTATCTGCGTCTAGAGATGGTAGTTCTCCACTCTGGCCGCACACTCAGATCCGGTGGGGGGGGGCCGAAGGCTGCTGTGGGTCCCGTCTCAGACCAATTGAACCAGAATCCAGTTCCTCAGGGGGATTCTCACTTACTCCAAGCAGGGCTGGAGGTGAGAGCAGGCTTCTCTGCTTACCAGTTAGGGTGAACTGTTCCTTCTCGTTCCCCATGGATGCCCCTCAGCGGGGACAGGCTCATCGCATAGGGCAGCCGAGGCTGGGGCAGCAGGGCGTTCTCCGGCCGCAGGCGCCCCTCAGGCTGGAGCCGAGAGTTCTGTCCGTCATTCCTGAGCATCTTCGAGTCGTGTCGGAGAGGAATCCCGGGACAACTCCAGTGGCCTGTGCCCCGTTCAGCTTTTGCCACCCCCATCTTAATTCCTTCCCTCCTCTCCTCACCTCCCTTCTGCACGGTTCCCCTCAGTCCAAACAGGTAACCATGGCTATGGCTATTCCATTCCTTTTGTTTTTTGTTTTTGGCTGGGATGCTTTTAGGCATTTACAAGTCAATTACAGTCCCTTTTCTTTTCTCCTTTTTCACCCCAACGGTGGCCTGCTCTCCAGGCTGCTGAGCATCTTGCTTCATTTCAGCTTCATCTTAGGCATCATTCCACATCAATTCATTCTTGTTTATAGCTGCATGTCCCCCAGCAGAGTTGTTTGTTTTTTTTTTTTTTTGACTCACCCTGAAAGCCCAGGGCTTCCCACCTAGGTCCAAATCATGTATCTCCTACTCTGATTCACCCAACTCCGCTGGCCGCCCCGTGGACCTCAGGCAGCAGTCTGGAGCCTGGGGTTTCTCCTCACTGGGAGTTAGGTTTGTACCCTACGTCTGATGTTACAGGGTAGAAGCCTGGGTTTATGCCTCCTGTCTGGAGATAGGGAGGCCAAATCGGATCCCGTAGCTGGAGTCCTTACTGAAGACAGGCTGCCGTGCAGGCACTTAGGTGAACGCGAGAAGCCTCATTCTAGAACAGTGAGTCACAGCCAGATCCTTTAGCTGTCCAGCTCGGATGTCACCGCCTTCTTCCCTCCACAGCTGCAGGTTTCTTTGCTTTTGTCTCTGAAGAGGTGAGGTAAAGTGTTCTTGTAGGAAGAAGCTGGGAGTGTGGAGTAAGACCTGGATGTCAGAACCGCTGCCGGAGGACAGGGCCTGCGGTGGGTGGAAGTGGTGAGGGGGCAGTGGCACCTGAACGGAGCAGACACACCTGAGCCTGTGTGGGGTGCCGCTCCTCAGCTGGCTGGCTCTGGGGACCCTCCCACTGTTGCCACACAGAGGAGAGACCTGCGCCTTCAGATTCAGACAATCTGAGCTTGTCCCCGCAACTTCCTGCTGTGAGATCCCGGTGAGTCATTTAACCTCTAGACGTGGGTTCCTTGTGTGCGAAATGGGAATAAAAACAAATCCCTGCAGACTCACTGGGAGCATTAAATGAGACAGTAGAGGCGGAGTCGTTTTATAAATGGTAAAACACTGCACAGTTTAGCAATTGGTTGTTAACTTTTCTGCACTGAATTAAGGCATTGAAATGATGCCTTAATTCCATTCCAGACTAGCCATGAGAAGCCCAGTCACAGTCCACCCTGAGCCTCAGTTTCCTTTCCTGTGGAGTGGACATGCCCACCTCTGAGTGGCAAGGCAAGGATCAGGACTCATGCAATTCTCACCCCTCCCGCAGGATCTCCAGCCGCCTGCCCTTCCTGAGAGGAGGGAGCTCCGGGCCTTCTTCCCACGTCTGGTCTTTGGGCGCCTTCAGGACGGATAGACCTTGGCACGGGCTGCCTGAGATTCCTGCGACGCCTGTCTGTTCCTGCCTTCTGCAGAGCATGGCACCCACAGGATTCCAGGACGGATCATAGACCGGAGCCTCCGGGAGGGCGCCCTGCACAGCTCACTGTGCGGTTCCTCTCCGCTCACCAGCCACCAGCCTCCAAGGCCAGCTCCCATCCCGGAAATGCCCTCGGGCACCTGGATGAGGCCATCCCAGAGCCGGACCCAACTCTGCCACCCACCAAGCCTCCCCCTCAGCCCCCCACCCCCTCCCATGTCTGGCTCCCAGGACAGACTGTAGAATGTCTGTGCCCCAGATCCACGTGGAAGAAGTGGGTGCAGAGAAGGAGGCAGGAGCCGCACCGCCCGATGACCACCTCCGGAGCCTGAAGGCCCTCACTGAGAAACTCAGGCTGGAGACCCGGAGACCTTCGTACTTGGAGTGGCAGGCCCGGCTGGAGGAGCAGACCTGGCCCTTCCCAAGGGTGGCTGCAGCTGCAGAGCCACAGGCGAGCGTAGAGGAGGGGGAGCGTGGAGGGCAGGAGCCCTTGCTCCCCCTGAGAGAGCCCGAGCAGCACCCTCCTCCTGCCAGGAGTGCCAGCCGGGGCACCAGACCCCTGTCCACTGGCAAGCTGGAAGGCTTTCAGAGCATAGATGAAGCTATAGCCTGGCTCAGGAAGGAACTGGTGAGTGGCTGCCCCCAAGAATCCCCAGAAAAGAAGCAAGGCCACCATCTGTCTGATTCTCTGTCTCTGTCTCTGTGTCTGTCTTCCCACACCCACCCTCTCTTCTCTCCCCCATCTCCACCTCCCAAGTACACATCTGTCATCTTCCCATGAGTTGAAGGCAGGCCTCATTTGTGGTTGAGGGGACCCAAGCGTCAGTTAGCCCCTAATTACAGACGCTAATGGAGGAAGCAGGTGTTTTCCGAGCGAACCTGAACCCATGTTAAGTTGTGCCCACCCTCACCCCGCCACCACTCCTGGTGGTGGAGTCTCAAACGCTTCTCCCTGGACTGCGAAGGGGGCCCCTGGGCTGTGACTGCCCCGCCCTCTGTGCTGGAACCCCCTGCCCACCCTGCTGTCCACCCCAGCTGCCCACCACTCCGGGGACCACTCATTCTACAAGTGAGTGGCCTCTCCCTATGCCGGGTGCCCACTGGGTGGCTCCATGGGGCACGGTGGCCGGGGTGTGGCTGTGCAGAGGGCTGCCGTGAGGCGCTGGCTCGGTGTGGAATGAGCTGGAGTGGTGGAGCCGCCCAGAGCTGCCATAGGATGGGTCCTGCCTGGGGAGCAGCTCTGTGAAGAGGCTCAGAAGTCAGGGCAGGGCCAGGTGTGAGCAAAGGGCACATTGTGTTGAAGCTGGGACAGCAGCGCCACCACTTTGCTGCCCATGGGCAAAGCAGTTTCCCAATAGGAGCATCTTTTGTTTTGTGCGGTGACTCAGCCTGAAAACAGGCTGGGGGTGCAGAGCTGGGTGCCCTGTCCCCTCCCACTCGCCAGGGGAGAATCACCGGTGTCTGGCACAGCGCCTCTCAGCAGCACCAGGCAGGAAGCTAACCCTTCCCCAGCTCTCGACCCCTGCTCGACCGCCCCCTGAGGCCAGATAACACCTGCCCGTCAGGCCACTCTGGCCACAGGTGTGCGAGCCATCAGGGGCAGCTGCTTTCCGGAGCCGGCAGGGACTCTTGGGTCAGCCTATTTGGTTTGTTTTGCAGAATCCTGAAATCTAAGAGAATCCAAGGGGTTTGGAGTGGAGCAGGGCTCAGGGACACAGGGATCTGACTGATGAGTTGGAAGCCTGTTTGGGTTTTAACCCTTTGTGCCAAGAATGTTTCTGAGAACGCACCATTCTGCAGCATCTCCAGTAAGCAGAAGGTCCACATGCTGTCTCGGGGGAAGATGAGGCCCTGGATTTGTGCCACGTCTCTGGGCTGCTCTGCCACTGCTGGTGCTCTTGGTGGGGGATGTAAGAGGAGAGGGGAGGTGGACAGCGTGCTCCAGGATGGACCCCATGCAGTCCCCAGCTGCTCTTTGAATGGCTGAGGCTAAACTGCTTTGATTTGCTTTCATAAGGAGGAACAAAAAACATTCCTGTTCAGCAAAGACAGAATGTGTTGGTTTCGAGTTCACTTGAGATTTCACTGCTTGTGGGAGCCAAGGCTTCTGCTTTTTAGGGAGGTTAGCATTCTGCGTAGCCCCCACTTTGGAGTGGGGAGCAGACAAGGAATCCTCCTCTGGGTGCAAACCAGGCTGGAGTTCCCTCTAGCTTGTCCTGCTCATCCTCTTTAGACCCCTCACTCCGGCTGTGTATTGGAACCACCTGGGGAGATTCTAGGCCACGCCGAAGACCAAGCTGATGAATGTCTGGGGGTGATAACCAGATGTGTGGTTTTCAAAGCTCCTGCGTGCTTCTAATGCACAGCCTGGTCCTCCGGTCTGCAAGTCAGACTCATGTCTCCTGCCAGGCCACTGTGAGCCGAGCAGCATGAGATGCCCTGCCCAGTGTGCTGGCCGAGCCAGGAAGGAGGCCGAGGGTGACGCGCAATCGTGGTCATGTGCAGAGCCAGGCTCCATGGGCCAACAGCAGAGCAGAAACTGTCAGGACCAGTCTGACTGCCAAAGGCTGTCGTACATAGGGTAAAGGGCATAGCAGCATGATTAAGAACGCTGTATGTTTGCACTGTTTCCACTCTCCTGGCCACTTCCCTGTGCTACCAGGGATGTGTCCTGTGTGCCAGGCACTTGGCAGGCATTACTCATCTCTTCTAATCATCAGATGACCTTCCTGGCACCCCTACTTTTCCAGAAGAGGAAACAGGTTCAGAGAAGAATGCAGCCATACGTGAGAAAGTTGAAATTTAAACCCTGGCCCATTTGGTCGCATTGCTAATGCTCTGCTCAGCCACCGTATGACATGGCACCCTCCGCAGGCAATCGATTTTACTATTTCACTCCTAAAAATGTAAATCACAAAAATGTTGGCAAGCAACAGAATGCCTGGGGGTGGGGCAGAGAAAGAAGCAGGATTGAAGGAGTTCCAGCCTCACCCTGTGATCTCTGATTCTTACACCAAAACTGCAAGATAGCCCTCATTGTGGCCGGTTTACAGATGAATACACTGAGGTCCACAGAAGTCAGGTGACCTGCCGAGGATGACATGACAAGTGAGTGGCAGAGCCAGGGCTGAGACGCATACAGAGAAGAGAGCTATGGGGAGAGAGGTAGCAGGTAAGGCTCATGAGTGGCCTGACACAGAGGGTCCCATTGGGCATGCTCAAAGATCACTGACCCAGCAGATGCATGCTCCCGATATCATGCTGCTTGCAGGATAGAGAATCTCTCAGGGCACTGACTCCCAAACTCTAACGCACAGGCAGGTCACTGGGGCTCTTTGCAGATGAAGATTCTGGTCCCTCTGGGGGCCTGTGCTTTCAAATTTCCAACAAGCTCTAAGGTGACACTATTCTGCTAGCCCTGGGCCACACTTAAGAGTAACAAGGAATGGAAGGAGGGCAAGACCAGGACCAGGCGACCAAGAAGCGACCTCAGAGGACACACCCAAGGATCCCTAAGCAGGAGCTCTGAGTCCTGTCTCTGTCATACCTGCCCATGTGGCTTGTGGCTCCGTTGGTGAATGGGCCTCAGTGAACGAACTCACAGCATCCCACCCTGAGTGGTCCAAGAACCACACCTGTTCAGACAATCCCAACTCTGAGACCCCAAGCAGCCCAGACACAGACTGGCAGGCGGGTAGGCAGGCTGGACGTGCAGTTCCACCTGCTGCCGGGATTAGACAGCAACTTGCAAAACCCTTTGATTGGATTGAAAACTGAGAGTGGAGCGTTTGAGAACAAACACGTTTCTGCTCTATTCAAGTCTCAGCCAGAACATTAAACTCAATGCCGTGACTTCCCTCATTCATTGGTGGTTAACTCATTGAGGGCACCTTTAAAAATTAACCTTTTTTTTTTTTTTTAACTTAGTGAACATGACTTGCCTGACTTTTTTGCTCTATTTTAAGCCTAGAAGCAGGTTTTCTCTACACCTGGGCAAGCCCTTCCTGCAAATTTGTTGGGCTCAAGAGCAGATGTGTTGTTTGTTCTCACATGGCCAAGGTAATTGATTGGAAATCTGTAATTCCCTTACTCACGGGGATATTTTCCGTAACTCAATGGGAGTTTTGAACGCTGGAGAGGGCAGACCCTAACCTCTCCTCTGACCACTAGCAGCTCCCCCTGGAGGCAGTGATCATTGTCACCCCAGCCAGAGGCTGGCAGTGCTGGGTCTGGAAGCAGAAGCTAGTTTGCTCCGGCCTCCAGCAAAACCAGGTAAAAGTCAGAGTGACTACCTGACCGTGGCTAATTTCTAAGGTGAGGAAGGATCCTAAGAGCTCTCAGGGGTCAGCTCTCCCTCTCAGCTTTCAGTGAAGTGACTGTCATTCCTGATGCCCCCCAGGGACCAGCAAGTAGATCAGATTTTCCTTCAGGCCAGTGTGTTAGTGATATAAGGCTGGTGGAGATCCTCCAAGCCTCTTAGCACGACTCCCAGCTAAGAAGGCCTTACCTTGGGCTCCCTGGGCGGAGTTGGAGATGTGTCACTCTCTGGCTGTGGCAGGCAGGTCTGCAGCCACCTGACTCCTCCAGACGAGGCCCGGTCTCGCCAGTCCCAGGACAGCAGCTCAGCGAATGGCCGTTGTGCAGCTGTGATTCTTCGCTGCTCAGGTCACCAGAAGGTCACAGTCCCCAGCTTTCACCTTCCAGGTGGCCCAGTAGCCTGAATCGTAGTGGCGGGAGGGCCTTGCTTCGGGAAGTAGGGGAGCTAGGAAGAGCATGACCTGGAGCTGTAGGATTCTCTCCTCTCCAGCTGAGTTTGGAATTCAGAGCATTCGCACATGCCTCTGCCCGGGCGTGGGTCCATCAGCCAACTCCCCTGGGTGGGGCCCTCAGCACAGGGCAGCGGGGACCCTCACTTCTGTCTCCTCTCTTCAGTCTCACCCACAGGTTTCCCTTGCCAACCTGGAAGACGGAGAAAAGGGGCAATAAAGTCTTCCTCGTGGTTTAGGCTTTGCCAAAACAAAAAGCAAAATATTCTGGCTTCCTAATGGGCAGTTTGTAGGGAGAAGCCCTGGGCGCCCACCAATAGTTTGCTCTTAGTATTACACAGGTGTGTGATCTCCGCAGGCACGACCCCAAGAAGGTGTTTATGACTGTTAGAAAAAGGAGAAAACCTCGGAGTTTTCATCACTTAGGGCCTGTCGAGGCAGGAGGACTGTGACCTCAACTCAGCTGGCCCCACTGTGGGCACAGCTTGGCTTCGAGGGGTCCACCCTCTCCCCATTAACCCTCTGTTGCCCGCACTGCCTGCGTGGCATGCCTAGGACTCTGGTATGTCCAGTTACAACCCTCTGAGGCTGGTGACAACCATGTGTGCTGAGCGGTGTGGCCAAATGGCAGGTCACACTAACCAAGCATCTTCTGATGGAAAATGGGCGATACAGCCAAGTTGACACCCCCCATCTAGGGAGGCTTTCACATACACTATCCTGTGAGAAGGCTTGGAAGTATTTGCTATTCCCATTTTACAGAGGAGAAGACCGAGGCCCAGAAAGATTATAGAACTGAGGGGCAGAGAGGTTAAAGTGATTTGGCCAAGGTCATGTGCAAGGATGTGGCTAAACCACAAGA